GCCGGGCACAGTCAGGGCACGCGCGGACGTGCCCCACGACATCCGTCGACATGCCGTGCCAAAAATAATGACGTTGCAACGTCAACAAGGTCTTCTGCACACCCAGATGTAATAGCGTGTCACAATGGAGAGTTCTAATCAACTCGTATCGGAGGGACGCAGGCACCACTAGACGCCAGTGTTCCTGGAGACTTTCCCTCCACATAAGCAGACCATCTCGGACCGCGGTTTCCGGCGCACCCTCCGTAACCGGACCCCCAACCTCCACTTTGGATCGCTTCCGCAAGGACACTAACGACTCATCCATCATTTGCTCCCTTATCCAAACAGACCGTGGCAGATTCAAAACCCCATCAGTCGGCCCCGGTTCCACAGTAGCATCCGACTTCTCCACAGCCAATACCACCGGCTGAGGGGGGGGTAGGCTGGGCGCACATCTCTGCGTCCCCGACGCACATTTGCAAGGGGAGCGCTGCGGCAACCTAGAAAGTGCGTCTGCGTTCGCATGGCGCACCCCTTTACGATGGTGAATTTGAAATGAAAATTCTTGCAGCGTGTCCAACCAACGCGACAGCTGGCCGGAAGGTTGATCCATTTTAAGGGCATATTGCAAGGCCGCATGATCCGTACGTACGATAAAGGAACGGCCGTACAGGTACGGTCGAAACTGACGTAGGAAAAAAACAACGGCTAAGAGTTCCCTGCGAGTGACACAGTAGCGTGTTTCCGCGGGCGACAGGACCCGGCTACCATACGCAACGACGCGCTCTACGCCCCCTTTAGACTGAGACAACACCGCGCCAATACCTGTGTCGCTCGCATCCGTATCAAGAATGAACGGTTGATTGAAATCCGGATAATCCAATGTTGGGGCGGTAGCCAACAGATTACGCAGACTCTGAAAGGCCGCCTCTTCCGGCGGTCCCCACGCAAACTTACGTCCCTTACCCGTAAGGAGGTGCAAGGGCCTCGCGATGGTCGCAAAATTCGGTACAAATCTTCGATAATACGAGGCAAATCCCAGAAAGCGACGTACATCCCCCACGGTGACCGGAGTCGGCCAATCTCGGACGCACGCCGTTTTTTCCGGGTCCGTAGACACCCCCTCAGCACTCACGATGTGCCCCAAATAACGGACGGACCGTTGCAGTAGGTGACATTTCTTTGGTTTAAATTTCAAGTTCGCGGAGCGCATCCTCGCGAACACCGTCTCCAGCCGCCTTAAATGTTCATCAAATGTGCGGCTGAAGACGATGATATCGTCCAAATATATGAGACATGTCTCCCACTGCAACCCCGTCAAAACGAGTTCCATGAGCCTTTGAAATGTGGCAGGGGCCGCATTCAGCCCCATCGGAAGGCAGTTAAATTGAAACAACCCCTGCGGCGTACGGAATGCGGTCTTCTCCCGTGAGGGCTCGTCAAGGGGAAGCTGCCAAAATCCCGAAGAGAGGTCCAGTGTAGAGAAATACTTAGCCCCCGACAATGCGTCGAGGGAGTCGTCCATACGCGGCAGGGGATACGCATCTGCCACCGATATCTTATTCAATTTTCGAAAGTCAACACAGAATCGCAATTTGCCATCCTTTTTCTTAACCAAAACCACAGGCGCGCCCCATGGGCTGTTCGACGGCGATATAATATCCGCAGCCAACATATCCTCCACTGCCCCCCGAACGTGTTCTCGCTCGGCCGGACTCATTCGGTGCGAATTCAACCGAATAGGGGCAGCGTCGCCTGTAGCAATGTGATGGTGAAGCAATGAGGTGCGTCCCAAATCCAAATCATTGGAGCTAAACACATCGGAATACGTCAATAACAATTTATGAAGCGCACCCCGTTGATCCACAGACAGGGAAGAATTTCCGTCACATAAGCTAGCAATCCAGCGGTCATCCGAAGCCACAGGCTCGGAAACACCAGCAACCACTCCCTGGCTATGCGAACAATCGTGAGCCGTAAATGCCGTGGTGGCATGTGCCACAACCGTGCCGGCTGGGACACAGACATTTTCCGTACCCGCATTGAGCACCTGCAAAAACGGTAATTGATCTGGCCGGACGATGGTCTGCGCTCCGACCAGCGCCGATCCGGCCGTTATCGAGGCTGAAGGTGACAACAAGATCCCAACCGCTCCCAGCCGACCAGGCAGGGGCTTCCGATACCGCAGGGGAATAAGCATCTGTGAACCAGGTGGAATATCAACAGATGCCACGGATAGCGCCTGCACTTGTACGGCCGAAGCAGGTCGCCCCCAGGGCGACGGCAGAAACGAAATTTGACGGCCACCCGGCAGTTCAATACAATTCTCATTAATTTTGATCAAAATAGGCATCTTAGCCAGAAAATCAGTGCCCAATAAACAGGGAACTGCCAAGGATCTTGAAATCAACACAACGCCCGAGGCCGACACATCCCCAATAGATATTTTAGCGTCCACCTGGCCCACGATGCCCATACTACCCCCGTTCGCAGCGACGCACGACCCGTAAACCGGACGCACGGCCCCGGGTGGGATGCCTAACAGATGAAAAATGACATCCGAAATAATAGTCGCGGACGCCCCGGAATCGACCAAAATGCGCACGTCCACCCCTTGTATAGACCCCGGCACGGTGGACGAACCCGTAGCGGCCGCAACAACCCTCCGTGCCAATTTGCGCCACTGCGTCACAGAGCGACAAGGCCCCGTCGAAGGTCCCTCTTTAACAACAACACTATGACCGCACAACGAAGGTGATGGGTGAGGTGTAAAGCCTTGCCGGGTGTCTGGTGCGTGCCGACTTGCCTGTTTCGGTGGATCCTTGGGCGGCTTGGCCGGTAATGAGGCCTCCTGTTGTGGCGGACCCGGGATGCGGGCCCAGCAGTCCTTCGCGTAGTGGCCCTTCCGTCCGCAGCGGAAGCAATCGGCGTCGTTGCGCCGAAGCGCAGGCCTTGCATCGCGCCGCCCGCGTATCGGCGGTGCAGCACGAGAGGCCGGTCCACCGCGGCCTGACCATGGCACCGAGGCGGCCGTCAGCTCCTGAGGGCCCCGCTCATCCGGCACGTATACCGACTTCGTAGGGTCCCAACCCAGAGCGCCACCCTCCGCGACGGGCCCCCCTGTCCACGCCGTGACCTGTTTCCATCGTCGTAGGTTGAATTGTGCATCCAGACATTTCGCCGCCGCCCGGGAGGTGAGCTTCTCATGCCCGCACACCGGCATGGGAATCCCAAGATCCCGCGACAGCTCGAGCATCTTGCCCAAGATGAGAGGCTCGAGCAGGTCAGGTGTTGTATCTGGATACGCGGCCATAGCCAAATCAAGCACTGCACCCCTGTACGCCACAGGCGACTCCTCGGGCGCTCGTTGTCGTTGAGCGAATCGCCGATGCGCGTCGTCAGGTGGCTCGTAGGCGTCGGCCATTTCTTGAAAAACTCCATATAATGTCCTCTTCTTCTCGGCCTTAATGGAGCGAAAAAAACGAACAGATTCGTCGTCCAGAAGAGTCGGCAACACTTCCAAGGCCTCAGCATCGGTCCATCTCGCAGAACGGACCGCCGCTAAAAATCTGCAGGCGAAAGCGCTCCAGTCGCCCCCAATGGCGAATTCCTTGACCGTGGTGAGATGGCGACTCCGACTTCGCTTCACTCCGCCCTCCGCCGATGGTTCCTCCGGAGGCAAATTCAAAATGGCGTCGAATCGCGGCGTGGTCAAGATGGCGGATTCCCGCCGCGGCACGCGCAAGATGGCGGCCTCCTGCCGCGTGGCCCATGGCGCCGGGAGTGAAGAACCCGTGGCGGCCTGTGGAGCACTCTCCGCTCTCTCCGTCGCCGTGCTTGGGGTGACGAGATGACACAATTGGCCCAGGGCGTCCTTGAGAGTCTCCAGTTGCTCAGCCACCTGCAGCCATCGCCGATCAGCGTCTGATGGTGTCGGCGGCCCTGACACTGTGGCTACATCTTCCACTCCCGTCCCCGCACTCGTTTCAGCAGGGCTCTCCTCCACCACCCTGGCGGGATCCATGTTTGGAGGGAAGTCTTCGTCTTCGGACGAAGAAGCCGATGCCGGCGCTGGAACATTTTTCTTTCTCACTTGTTTCGACATGCCGTTGCACTTCCGACACCAATGTAATAAAGGACTCGACCACGATGTCTGGCTTGGTGTCCTTTATTCGGTTCTTCTCTCTTAACCCGCACGGCTGTCCTTCTATAAGACTCTATACTGACACTGATACTGCTCTCCTGCAGTTTCTCCCCTCGTCGTTCTCTCAGCCTCTCTCTCCTCTCGTCGCTCTCGTAGCCTCTCCCTCACACACAGCCTCGCCGGCTGTGTTCCCCGCAGCTCCTCGTCCGCCTTCTCTCCAGCCGCCCCACCGCTGTCTTCTCTCGCAGCTCCGCTGGCTGCTCCCTTAGCTGGCCACCGCTGGCCGCCGCTGCCACCCCTTGGCTTTGCCCACGTGGCCTTACTCTGGTCCAGTCCCACTCGTTCTGCCTTCCTCTTCCGGTCTCCTCCCTTAAGAACCTTAACCTTTCCTCCCACGTCACCTAACTCCACCTCTCCGAGACGTCACATCCGGGAGGTCGCCCGCGCCTGCATTACAGTAGTATATAGTGTAGTGTATAGTAGTGTAGTGTATAGTGTAGTAGTGTATAGTAGTGTCTAGTGTAGTGTATTGTAGTGTATAGTGTCGTAGTGTATAGTCTAGTGTATAGTAGTGTATAGTGTAGTGTATAGTAGTGTAGTAGTGTATAGTGTAGTGTATAGTGTAGTGTATAGTGTAGTGTATAGTGTAGTGTATAGTGTAGTGTATAGTGTAGTGTATAGTGTAGTGTATAGTGTAGTGCTGGAGTCTGTCACCAGGGAAAGTGAGATCTGGAGCGCCCTACTCAACATGCTGCCACCGCGACCCTCACCAGGACGATCGGATCGACAAGCGAACCAACGAATAAAAGCAACAGCAACGAATGCCAGAAACAAAACACTGACCGCTCACCGTCCTCCGTCTGCCGCGGCGCAGGCAGCGTGTTCGTGCTGTCTGAGGGTGCCCACCTGGACGTGTCGGACTGGCTCAACCCGGCCAAGGTGGTGCTGTACCGGCAGGGCGCCAACGAATCGATCCCGTGGGTGCGCGACCCCTGCGCCGAGCGGACCCTCAGCCCCTGCGAGCACCTCTGTGACCCCGAGACCGGTGAGCGGAGTCGCGTTTCCCATTCGTCGAGGAATCTCTCGGTCGGTCGTGTTCCCATCCGCCGTGATTCGTTTGCCCGGTTGTTTCTCGTCGTCGTTTTCATTTGTTGGGGGTTGGTTGTGCTATTTTTTCTCTTGCTCTCCTCTCTCCCCTCTGTTATCATCACGGTTATGGAGCACAGGCCCATTGGCCCACAATGCCAAGTAGCCAGCAACAAACAACACCAGTGATGGTTTAATAGATGTATGAATTTTAATTTTCTATTCAAAGTTTTCGTGACTGCAGGGATTCATATTATTGGTTCTTTCGGTAAAGTCACGTAGAAGGAAAGTAATACAATAATAAAAATAAAACATAATATGTTTTAAAAATATAACATAGTAAGTTTTTAAAATAAAACATATGTATTATTTTTTATATTTTATAATTACCCTTCTACGTGACTTTACCGAAATAACCAAGAAGATGTATGAAAGTGTTTAATGATTCGGGCAATCTATGAATGTTTGTTGAACTTCTGTCGCACCGTACGTAGCCAGCCGTGCTAATCGGAGGTGCAGGGGAAGCAGGACAAACTAAACACAAAAAGCAGTTCTAGAGAAGTGAAGTCATCATTATTATGAAGCAACTTGGGAAAAAGAGACTATTGGAGAAGAAGAAGAAGAATCAGGGGGAGGAATGCTGCCACCTGCACTGTGGAGGTTGGACGCAGCATGGGATGAGACGAAAAACAGTCGGTCTGGTCCATAACATGGGTGTAGTGGTCGTAGTGAAGCTCATTAGAATGGTAACCATGAGAGTTGAAATACTTTCAATTTAAAGCTTTCGTGACTGCAGGGATTAATCTTCTTGGTTCTTTCGGTAAAGTCACGTAGAAGGGAAATAATAAAATGACGGTTCCACCTGAAGACGGAAGCTTGTGTTGCCTCCGAAACGTCGTGAGAATTATTTTATCATGTTTTATTTTTATTATTTTATTATTTCCCTTCTACGTGACTTTACCGAAAGAACCAAGAAGTTGAAATACTGTTGTGACACGGAAGTGACTGACCGCGTGTGTGCAAGTTGACAACACAGAACCGTAACGAGATGCAAGTAACGGCATTTTGACACTCTTGTTTTTTTCACACGTAAAATGTTCGGTTTCAGTAAAAGGCGGCTGTAGGAACGTATTACTTTATATTAGGGACGTGGTCGCGTATATTCAAATCCTCTTTGGAGGATTGACTCAGCCCAAACACAGTGTGCGGGGAAACATGGGATTTTCACAGTGTGCAAACATCAGCCATATGCCTCGTCGTAGGCCCTGCAGTGATAAGCTGTAATATGACAGGGAGTAGGGGGTGGGTGTTGTCTGAGATATGAATTGCTTTGAAAACTTTGTTGGAAATAAATAATGTGGAATGACCGGGTCTGTGACAGCAGAAATGAGAGGCTGAGGGAATATTTTATTTCTTTTACAGCTGTGTTCAGGTCTGAATTGTAACAATTGGGCAATGTGAAGAAGGCATTTGGGTGAGGTCCACTACCTCTGCACCGCTGTGAATGCCGATGAACTCAAGTCATAGGGCATTGGGCAGAGGCCAAAACAACTGAACCCAAATCACACGGCCCATCAATGTGGTTCTTCTCGACAATATCGGTGGTCATGGTGTCAGTGGGTTGGAAAATAGTTTGGTGAGTGTACGGTCAGTACAATACTCATGATCAAGTACAAATTCTATGATACGGTGAAGCAGCTTCAGCAAATAGACAAATTAAATGTTGGTATATGTCTAGGAGAATGTGTAATTACAGGCGGCATCCGGCCATGGGAATGTGGAATTTCCACCATTGGTTTGTGGCTGTCGGTAGAGATGAGCGTCTTACTCTGACTAACTGCAGGAGGGAGACAATTTGAGTTTGAAATTTGACTCGCGTCTGGAGTGTGAACGGCCCTCTTAAATAGATGATGATTTTCTAAGGTGGAGTGATAGAAGCATTGATGATTATGGCACTTAATTGTTGGAAGTTAAAACCAATTTTGATAATTTTCTCAAAGCTCACCTAGTAAACATGTGAGGAATGACCGCCTTCCGCACTTTTCTATAAAACATTTAACTGGCTCACAAATGAACGTCAATTTGTTGATCTTACTGTTTCACAGACTTTTAATTACTTAAAATATCGATAAGCCTATATTCTTAATAAAAATAAAAATAATAAATAGAAAATAATGAAAGCAAAAAACCACGTCGTTTCGATCGCAACACAAGCGGAGAGAAAAGAGGGGGCAAGCCTCCAAATGCAACTGCTTTTCAGGACTTTCAAAATGCATGGGCGCGGCAGCCAGCGCAAATGTAGGTGACCAATGGGGAGAGAGAGGGGTCAGAGACAGGGGGGGGAGAAGGGGGGTAGAGATAGGGGGAGAGTGAAGACGGGGGGGGGGTAGAGATAGGGGGACAGAGAGAGGGGGTACAAGTCGTGCGTTAGACAATGGAGTGCATTAGACAATGGGCGGAGGGAGGGGGCAGAGACAGGGGGAGAGAGAAGGGGGGTAGAGATAGAGGTGGAGCTAAAGGCGAGGGCGCAGTCCAAGTGTGTTAGACAATGGGGGGAGGAAGAGGGCAGAGACAGGGGGACAGAAAGAGGGAGGGTAGAGACTTTACCGAAAGAACATAAAGTATGAATTCCTACAGTCACGAAAGTTTTAAGTACTGATAGGCCACTATGGGGACCTCATTTGCCAGTAAAAATATGATAATTGGTTCTTTACCCTTCTATCTGGCAACAAAACTGACACCTTTGATTATAATTAACACATGCAGTACAAAAAAAAGTTGTATTCCTGACAGTTGGAAAAGTTAAGACAATTCATAATTCGTGCGACAGCAGGGTACGTGTGCTTGGTCATGTAAGTTACTGCTGCATGCATATATGAATGTTTCAATAAATACATCCAGTGTGTGCATTCATATATGAATGTATGTATGCGTTTATTTATACATTCATAATGGAAACCGCATTTTGTCAAGCTGCTGTAGCCGAATGACCTCTTCCCCATGTCAGCCTTGAGGGCTGTTTGACCCTACTGCACCTCGTGGGTCTGTGCGGGTTCACGAAGGGCGAGGGGCCCAGGACTGGTGCAGATACAACTCCCCAAATTGATGTCGCCTGTAACCGGGATTCGAACGTAGACCTCCAAATTAACAGCGCAGTGCGTCAAACGTGATGCAATTTTTTTTACTGTATAATCGGCATAACCAGCCTTGGTCAATCCACTGCTGGATGTAGACCCTTTCCCGAGCCGCCACCATCTGTCGCAATCTTGTGACATAAAACCATCGGGTTCAATCGCTCCATCCGCTCAGTGGGCGTCCGTTCGCTCCGGACGCATTTTCTGTTCCCCGGCTGCCACTCTTCAAATCATCGGACTTACAGCTATGAGTCCTTCTCATCTAATCTTAATGGTGATGTACATACGCGCCTTTACGAAGGCGTTTTGCAGCAATTGCAACTTTGTACATAGCATGATAACAACATGAAATGAATAACTGGGTGATTGGAAGTGGTGGTGTAGTTTTGATGCAGTTAAACAAGAGGGATTCGCAGTCTTAATGACGCCATGAAATGGATAATTGTCTTGTAATCCTCGCGATTCAATGTAATTTCGAGCACGTTTCCTCGTGTTGAACTCTTTATACGCGCTGCCTGTCGATCGTTTTATACTATTAGTTCTTTCGGTAAAGTCACGTAGGTAAAAAATGAAACTAAAATTAATAAAATGTGATTTTTATTTTATTTTTAATAAAATGTGATTTTTATTTTATTTTTATTAATTTAAATTTCATTTTTTACCTACGTGACTTTACCGAAAGAACTAAGAGTATGAATCCTGGCAGTCACGAAAGCTTCAAATCTAGAATGTCGATCTTTATTCGTCAAGAATGTCACCGTGGAAAGGAACGAACAGGAGCGATTGCGTGCGCCAAACAGAATGGTCGGGATTTGCCACGTCTGCCATCACGCTTTCATCAAGGTGTGTGTAGATGTGTGCACGCGTCTCGCCCCTTGCTTACACATCAAGATGAAGGTGGTGCGTGTGTGGGGTTAGTCTCTCCCATGCCAGGTGTGTCCCATTGAAGTAATTGAAGGCTTATTATCTACTGCAGTGTTTCTTAATCTGCCACACCTGCATTAGGGTCAACGGAGATCTTCACACTTGTACATGTACGTATGTATGTTGATGTATGTACTGTATGGACCGGTCCTGGGCCATCCCTAGGTCGACTCAGCCTCAAATGAGGACCTAGTGCGATGTGTAAACATCGTCACTGGGGAGACAAAGGCGGACGGGAGTGGTGCTGGCCACCCACCCCTTCCTGTGCCATGCCGGCCTTCATAAGTGCTCGCTAACAGCACTTGTTAAGGATATATGGGGGATCTCTGTATTTGTTTTGGATGTATGTTGAACTTCTTTTGCGCCGTACGTAGCCAACCGTGGCTAATCGGAGGTGCGGGGGAAGGACAACAAACTAAACACACAAAGCTGTTCTAAACAAATGGGGTTTCAATCTAGATTTAAAAGTGCTTAGCTCCAGTTGCTTCCTGATATCGGAACGGGTAGATATAACCAGAGACCTCGCCAGTTGAATCCAGAGTGCTAACCATTAACACCGCCATAGAAGCATCCCGTTCGGTGGATTACAGCTCAAAATTAATCAGCTGACACCCATACGGAAAAGCGCATGTGACCAATTCAGAATAATAACAAAACATTATGCTTTGCTCAACATAACACGAAAAAATTCGTGCATCGAAATGTATCTTTTTTGAAAGTTCTAAATATCACGTGAAAATTATATAATTATTCCGGCAGTGGATTGACCCTGGCTGGTGACGACAGGAAAAGTATTTGCAAATTTAACCTTCAGCATACTGCATACAAGCAGTAGGGAATTGACAGAACACAGGGCAGCAGTGTGCGAGATAAACGATACAAAGGAAACACAACAAACGAG